ATGTAGAGCAATGGTTCTCAATTATTTTGGTGTCAGCAATTCTTTATAGTCTTAAAAATTGCCAAGAGCCACCCAAAGTAATTTTTCTGTTCAGTTAACTAAGGGTTTGCTATTTTAGAAATTCATTCTGAAAAAAATTAAGAGCACACAAACTCACAGTGAAAGCACCACCACATGTCATGTAGTCTCTGGAAAATTCTGTCTCACACTTGTGAGAGAATGAGAATGAAAGAGGCAAGTGCTGTTTCAGTACATTATGAAGTAGTTTTGATGCTGATTCCAGGACCACTATTTGAAAACAACTGGTATAGAAGAACTAGCTCTTGCCTTGAGACTGTTTGTCCTAGTTTAGGGTCTTTTAGTTTCAGGAAACTCAATGGCTTGGGCAAAATGGGGAGGATTTGAAAAGCTGCTGGGTCATGCCCCAAATTTGAGCAATCTTTGAAGATCCAAACCACAGGAAGGGCAAGAAAATGGCAGGGATTTAGGACTAGGGAATAGAGAAGAATTTAGACTGCTTCTTGCCTCTATGTTTTCCACTTTCATTTTCTAATGACTCACTTTCTTGCTCCTCTGTGCACATGGCCCCATACCTCCTAATTTTATGGTTCTTACAGTTCAAGTGTTCTGTACTAAACTAGGCCCACTGTTTGCCAATTCCAAGTCCCTTGGAGATAGGATTTGATTGGCCCAGCTTGGAGGTACAATCAGATTGGTTCAGTAAATAGGTGGCTAATCCCATACCAGCCAATCAGCTGTGGCCAGAGGGGCAGAGCTATGTTGTGCAATTATGGCTGCCTTGGCCAACCAGCGTTATGTGAATGGGAGTTTGGGTGGGGAGGGGTGGTGTGGAGTGAGCAGTTCTCATGAAGGGAGAATGGGTTTCTTTTGGAAAGTCAACTTCAAAGGTTCCCATAACAGTTTGGAAAACTAGGTCCTCCACCTTCTACTGGTTCCATGACTGGATAAGTCATGAACCATCTCAGAATTTGTTTTGCCAAGAGACAAATAGGAATAATAACACAATTGGTCTAAGTTGTAGGGTAATTTTAAGAGTGAATTGAACTAATATATGTGAAAGACCTTTATAGGCTCTGTGCCCAGCATATTACTATGGTAAGTGTGAGGAATTCATTATAATGTATAAAATCTTTGCCCTCAAGGATGTTAAAATTAAACTGGGGAGGCGGTGCTAAAACCCATGGTGCTATGAGAAAACGGCAAGCTTCTGAGCATGAGCTAACCAAATGCAACAAGAGTCCAGAGGAGACAGAGATCAGCGTGGGCAAGGATGGAAAATAATTTGTCAAATACTTCCTGTGGACTTAGCATTGTCCCTGTGGCTTCACACCCCTTGGCTCTAACTCTCTCAGCAGTTCTGCAATAGAGGTGTTGCTGGGCCCATTTTGTGGATAACACTAAAGTTTAGAGAAGTAACTTGTCCAAGACACAAAGTGGATGCTATGGTTGGATTTGGGTTGAGTGTCCCCCAGACTTTATGTCTTGAAACTTAATTCCCTTTATGAAATATTGAGAAGGTGGGAGCTTAATCTGACTACAGTGTTTAGAGATAGGGCCTTTGGGAGGTGATTAGCATTAGATAAGATCATGAGGGTGGAGCTGTGTAAGAGGGAGAGACCAGGAAAGACACATACACACGTATGCTCTTTGTCTCTTACCAAATGATGCTCTCTGCCACTTGGAGACTGCCGGCATAAAGGCCATCACCAGAGGAGGTCCTTAGACCTTGCACCTCTAGAATCATGAGTCAAAATTAACTTCTCTCTCTTAAAAAAAATAAAGTAGCCTGCTTCAGGTATTTTGTTACAGCAATAAAAGAAACTGACTAGTACAGCTGGAGTGCAAACCTATGTCTGCCTGACTTGAAGGTGATGTTCCTTTTACTCTTCAATGAGGTAACAGGAAAAGTTTTGGAGGAGTGGGATGGTAGCAGGACCAAAGCCTAGATTGGATGTAGATGGGCAGAGGGGAGGCTAGCCATGACAGAGCTTAAGGAATGCAAAGACATGGCTATCACTTAGGGTGAACCTGATGGAGTAAGCACTAGGCTGCCATTGGATAGGTAAATGGTTTGCAGGTGACAATGCCAGAATGTATGAGTGAACAAATGACCACGGGCTCCTGACCTTCACCCCTTCTGTCCAAGTGGTCTGGCAATATGGACGTAGAGCCCCAGTTGGTGGGTTCTTTGAGCTCTTCAGGGCTCAGTTGATGAGCTCTTGGATTAGGGTGTGGAACAGAGAGGAAATGTGAAGCCTGTGATGGCTTTTGAAACAAGAAATAATAGCATTTGGATATAGAGAATGAAGAAGACCAAAAATGATTGACTCACTGCCTGCCTGCCTGCCTGCCTGATTGACTCCTGTATTTAGCAAATGTTTAAGGGCCATTTATATGGCTGGCCGGCTCTGTCCTTGGTTCCGAGAATATTGGTGACCCAGAGATGGCTCTTCACCTCACTTGGGGCAGACAGAAAATCCATAAGTAAAGCAACGCATGTGTGATATAATGGCAGACAATGCTAAGTGCTGTGAGAAGACATAAAGCAGGGTTGAAGAAAGAGAACGAAGGAGAAAGCATGAGTGGATATCAGTGATCAGAGAGAGTTTCTGGGGGAGGCAACAGTGGCGCAGGATAAGTTGTATTTGAGTAACCTCAGGAAGAATCCTTTGCCCATCCCCTCAAAGGCCCTATAGCCATGATCCATGCATTTGGGAAAACTGAGGCACAAGGAATGCTGGCCAGCCCTGTGGTGGGGGAATAAAACCTGGCTTTCTGGGGGCCACTGCTGCCTGATGTCCCTGCAGCCACTAATTCCTGGTGCTTCAGTCCACCAAGGACATCTCCTTTTTTTTGGTACTGGGGATTCAACTCAGGACCTTGCGCTTGCAAGGCAGGTGCTGGAACCACTGAGCTAAATCCCTGGCCTGACATCTCCTTCTTCTTCTCCCTGGAGGTATTTCTAGGCCCATGAAGCCCCTTCCACGTCTCCTGTGGCCTCGTCATTCTGCTTGTCTTGATTTCACCTGATCAGAGGTGGTAGTGACAGGGCTGTAGGCTGCACACATCAAGCTGTCCCTAGCTTCACCGAGGGGGCTGAGGGCAGCTGAGGGGGACCAGCCTTGGCTTTGTGGGCATGGGGGCCTGTCAGAGCCTTGGGTACTTCCAGAGCCTCCTGCTCCCTCTTGGGGTCAACTCTGAGTAATAAGGGAGATGGGAGGGCTGCTGGCTGTCAGTGTGCAGGCTGGGAGCACGGAGCGGCCGGAGGAGGGAGGTGGAATTCTGTAATTTGTTTTGGAGAGGAGCTGAGGCGATGGCAGAGGTGGCAGCTTGGCAGGTGGGCTTGATTGTGGAGTGTGTGCTTTGTGATGTGTGAGTGCGGCAGGCCTTTCTATTGTGAAGTCTCCATTGAGGTGCGTGCACTTGAGAGTGTGTGAGAGTGTGTGTGTGTGTGTGTGTGTGTGTGTTCATCCCAAGTCTTTCCACCATGAAGTTCTCAGTGAAGTGTATGTGTGTGTGCATCCACATGCATGCAGGAGCACCCACGCCTGTCCATTGTGAAGTCCCCAAGGCCACTTTTCTAGGCCAGGCCCTGAGCCTGCCCCATTTCCCCTGCACTCCAGGGTGCTGCTATGTCTTATCCTCATCTGGTGCCCCTTCTCTGTCCCCAAAGACCTTGGCTGGCCCTTTCCTTGGCTGGAGTTGACTGCTACTCATTACCGAAGAATGACCTGGAGGAGCCCAGGGTGCTATACATGTGACCAGTGTGGGACTTACATGGGTTTAAAAATAAACCTTACTGAGCCACTGTCCTGAGCTGCAGCGCTGCCGGCCAGCTCTTGGCTGGCCTCTTATTCCCAAAGGTAGAACTCACCACCACCCCTCCCCTGTCCCCATACCATGCAGACCCTTCCTGGGAGATGCGTATAGGATGGGGCACCAGGGTCCGGCCCAGGAGACCACGAGGAGCCAGGTTGTAGTGTCAGGCTGCAGGCCAGAAGCTGGAGGCAGACTGCCCCTCCGAGAAGGGGGAGGGGGAGCTCCCCCATGCCTGGGCTCATGCCTTGGGTCCAGATGCCAGGCCTGGCTATTTCTTTTCTTTTCTTTTTTTTCTTTTCGGTACCAGGGATTGAACTCAGGAGGACCTTGTACTTTTGAGGCAGGCGGCAGAACCACTGAGCTAAATCCCTGGCCCTGGCTGTTTCTTGAGACATATGGGAGGTTGGCAGTATGGGCATGGGAACCTGGGTGACAACTGACATTATACTTCCTGCCTCAGCAGGACTTGCTTCTCAAAGCTATCAGTTGATCAGCAGGAGGAGCAGGGTTGGCATCTTAGTGCTGTCAACAAAATGGGAGGAAGAGGTCCTCGTGTGTGGGAATTTGGTAGATGTGCTTTTTCCTTTTGGGATATTGGGGGCTGAACCCAGAGCCTTTACACTGAGCTACATCCCCAGTCCCTTTTCTCAAACTTTTAATTTTGAGATCAGGTCTTGCTAAGCTGCTAAGGCTGGGCTCCGACTTGGATGCTGTTCCCTCAGCCTCCCAGAGTGCTGGGCTTATAGATAGGCCTGAACCACCATGCATGGCCAGACACGGGTTTTCAGTCATACTGCCCTGAGTTTGTGTCCTGGCTTTGCACTTAGTAGCTGAATGACCTTGGGCAAGGGATTTGACCTCTCTGTTGTCTTAGTGCCCTAGTCTGTGAAATGGGGATCATAGGGATTCCTCCTTTTGGGAGTTGTTGTGAAGACTTAATGAGAAGATCCAGGTGAGTAGCTGAGTGACTTGGGGCAAGTTACCTACCTCTTTGGGCTTGTTTCCTTACCTGTAAAATGGGATTGGTGTTGGTTCAAAGGCTGTGATGAAGATGGCATATGGAGATGCAGGGGAGGCGGACAGGGCCTCACAGGGTGCATGCTCAGGGCCTGTAGTGATGAATGTAATAACAAACATCCCCAATCCAAATGTCTCCCCAGGCTCGTGGCTCTGCGGGTGGCAGGAGGAGGCATGATGCCGCCTCTCAGGAGGACCACGACAAACCTTACGTCTGTGACAGTAAGTACAGGCTCCTCCACCCTGCCCCAGCCCCACCCTTCCCTGTGCTTCCTTGGCTGCCAGCCCACCAGCTCCTGGGCCTGCACCCTGGCGTGCCTGCCTGCATCCTCTCCAAGGTCACCCTGCTGCTGCTTTGGCAGGGACATCTGTGCACGAGGGGAAGCTGTCCGGGAAGCTCCTCCTTGGATCTGTGTGCCTCGGCCTGGCAGGGTCTCCTTCCTGGCTTTCCTCTGCCTTGTTCTCCTTCACACTCCCCATCTCTTTTAAGATTCATCCTCTCTGTCTTTCTCTATTTCAGAGAGTTACAAACAAAAGCATAACTCAAAACCCTCCAACAAAGGTACTTGGCTCCTGTGCTCCTGTGGCTTTCCATTTGTTTCCCTTTAATTTCCTCTCTCTCTCTCTCTCTCTCTCTCTCTCTCTCTCCCCCCCCCTCTCCCTTTCTCTCTCTCTCTATCCCTCTTGTCCTAGGTAGGGCAGGTTATGAATCTTTCTGTGACAATGACTTACTTTAATAAATGGCCCTCCATCCATCTCCAGCCTTTCTTGCTTGCTTCAGAGACATCTTTTGGACAAGCGACTGCCTGGCTCCTGGGTTAGTCTGAGGACAGTGCTAGGGTGGCCAGAAGAACAGGAGGGGCTGGGAGCCATGGGCAAGGTGCACCTCATGAAACCTCAGCTTGAGGCAGATTGCGGTCAGATGGAGACATGGCCTTTGTCTTTTCTAGTCACCAGGGCTTGGGGCGGTGGCTTTGAAATCCTTGCCCAAGTTAGCTTCTTACTGGATCAGGCTGTATCGGCTCATTCCGTGGCAAGGGTGGCCCTCAGAACTTCACTCCTCATGATCTGCCCTTCCTGTCTCCTCCTCTCTGAGCACATAGGGCTCAGGAACAGCTCAGAAAATGGCAGCGAAACAGCTGCGGCAGGACCTGGCACAGTGCTTGCTCTGGGTGCCCCATTCACTCTGCAGAGTCTGCAATCTCCGGCAAGGCAGGGAGAGAGCCAGGGTAGAGGGACACAGGGGCTAGGCTGGGGCTGGTGTCTTTTTTCTCCCTCTTCACTGGACTCTTTTGATTTCAAAAAGTTACTCTGTGCCTGTTGGGGTGACAGCTGGTTGGAGAACATTTTGTTAGGAGAACTCAAACTCCATGACCCCCATTTGGTTGCTTAATACACCATGCAGATGACATTCCCTAGGTGACTTCTCAGGTAACATAGTCACCCCAAGGCAACTGCATTCCAGGATGAGGAGGGAGCAGGGCATGGGGTTGGATGCCTTTTGGTAATGCCAGGAGATGCCTGCTTTGGCCGGGTCTTGCTTCCCAGATGGGGTTCCATTTTTTTCTGACCTAGAGACAGCCCAATACAGCTAGCCCTTGGGAGACTGGTTCTGAGCTGTGCCTGGGAGGGCTCCTCAGTCCCCACAGTGCAGCCTCTTAGCTGTGTCTGGCTGGAGGAGCCCATCCATCAAGAGCACCAACAGCTGCTTTGGAACAGGGGCATTGCTGCTCTATTCCTCTTCTAAAATGGTTTTTTATGTATGTGATTTTCTGCTGTCATCAATAGTAGGATTATCTCTATGGCTTTCACTGGATTCCTAGCTAATAAAAGTCCCCTATAGTTCCAGTCACACCCTATGCATCCTTCACTCTTGCTTCTCTCATTGCCCAGTTCCTCTCTTCCCACCTTTGTCTCTGACATCTGCCTCCTTGTATGTTATCGCCATGAGGTGCACTTTCTGAGCACCCTCTTGTCCAGCTGCTCTCCTTCTGCATGAAGTGCTTGCATCAAACCCTCTCCTTCTAGCTCCTGACTTAGTTTAGGGGCTCTCGGTGCCACGTACTATTTCTGATTCCTTCCCCACAAGGTCTCTTCTACCTTCCTGGTACCCTGGAGTGCTTGGGAGGCCGAATATATGTTGATATTGATTTTCCAGAGTCTTCAGCCACTGCTTTCTTGGCTCTGGCCATACGTATGCAGCTTCCCTCTTCCTCCCTTGGAGGAGCGAGGCCCACTCTAGATTGCCCTTCTCTACACTGGCTCTCTTAGGACATTGTGTGGCAGCTCAGTGATTAATAGACTTTATTTTTATCTGGTGCCCTTCAGACATGGGATCCTTTGGGATAGAAATGACCTTTGGAGAGGTCATGAGTCCCACCCCCACCCCTCAACTGGGCTAGAAATGCTTTTAATAATCTCTAATGCATCCTAAGTAGAGAGGTGTCTGGTGGCCATTCTCGATTGTCCCGAGGGATGGTGTTACCATAAGCTGCCCTGTTTTTTTTTTTTTCCTCCATGATTCCAGCTGTGCTTTGACTGATTGTTTCTCCACAGAAGCTGAAAATGTTCTTTCCTAAAGGTCCCCTTGTCTTTTGTGCATCTTTCCCAATTAATAGGCACATTCAGCATTTTGTCTGATATCCTTTGGAGCCTCAGTTGAGCTAGGGTCCCAACCCATACTCTCTGTGCTATCCTGCTCTGAGTTCCCTTTCAGGTCTGCTTTTAAGTATAGCACTCCCATTGGAAGCAACATCAAGGCTCAGTGGCTCAAAGAGCAACAGATACATTTCTCTGTTTGTCTTACACAAGTTCTTAGCACAGCCCACTTTGGCAAAGGGTGCCCCTCCTGCCCTGTGCCTGCCCTACCCCATGCATACCAGGTCTTTCCAGGTGTTTGCTGTTTTCTTTCTTTTTTTTTTTTTTTTTGGTACTGGGGATGAACTTGGGTCCTTGCGCTTGCGCAGCAGGCGGCGAAACCACTGAGCTAAATCACTGGCCTAAGCATGGTAGTAAATTGTGGAAATATGGGTGTGGAAAATCCACATTACCATGAAGTTCACCATCTTTTTTTTTTTTTTTTTGGTACTGGGGATCGAACTTGAGTCCTTGCATTTGCACAGCAGGCGGCGAAACCACTGAGCTAAATCCTCACCCAGCCCAGTGTTTGCTCTTTTCTACTCATGTATTTGGTTGTCCCTCTTTCCATAAATCACTCTGCATTTGGCCCTATTGAGTCTCAATAAACAGATACAATAATGTGTGACTTCAATATACAAGATTCAGTAAAGGCAAATTTAAAGACATTGCCCAGTGGTTAAATTTCATTCTCCATAGATTTGCAATTCCTGCCATTTTTGTATCATCTATGGTTTGATTTGCATAATTCCCACTCCATCTTTAGAGTTATTTATGAAAATATTAGGTCACCTTGAACCCCAACATCTCTCTCTGGGTTTATGTGGAGTACAAATAGCCATTTTTTGGATGTGATTGTATTTAACCCTTTCTGGAATGAGTTCTTGAATATACCATCTGGTTGTGTTGTTGGCCTAAGCTCCCCTTTCAGGATGGGTGGTTGAAATATTATCTTAGCTGCTAACTTCAGGTGATAGATAGTTTGCTTCTTGCCTTTCACTCAGCCATTGAATTTATTCCATCTCAGAAATATTAAATCCTCTGAATATAATATTTTTACCCAATCTATAGTGTGTGCATGAGCACTCCATTTTCCAGCAAGTAACCAATCTCTTATTAATTATCTTGCAAGTTTCCAAGCTAAAGAATCAAAGTTCTGTTTCTTCCCTTTCAGTCTCTCACCCAAGAAAAAGTGTTCATTACTCACAAACAAAGCAGTTAAACAGGACTTTGTGGAGAAGGCTGCTGGTATCTGTCAAAGTGTGGACCTGGACCACTTGCACAGAAATAACCCAGGTGTTTGTCAAATGCAGATTCCTGGGCCTTGCGTCTGAATCACAGTAGGCAGGCCCAGAGCCTGCATTTTCTGAGTGCTCCGTGGAGAATTCTTACCTGTCCTGAAGTTTGAGATGGACTGATTTGATATATTTGAATGCGAAGGCTCTTGGCCTCTCACTGAGCAGCCCCTTTATTATTTTCTGCTTTTTGCCTAGGGCTTCTTGATGCTCCTGGCAGCTCGCAACATGGCTGTAGCTGGGCTCTTCAAAATCCTTTTTCACTAGTTCTTTCTTTTTTTTTTGGTACCAGGGATCGAACTCGGTGTGCTTTCGAGGCAGGCGGTGGCACCACTGAGCTAAATCTCTGGCCCTCACTAGTTCTTTCAACAACCATGAAACTTGGCAGTCTAACATAAAACCCAGCAATCCAGCGCTTGATTTTAATTTATGTAGTAGCTTGCCATCCTCAGAGCATCATTAGGCCGTGTCATAGGTGGGATGGCAAGTAGGGACAGGCCTGTGAAAGGAGTCCTTGGGTTTGGGCTCCTAGGATGCTTTGGACATCCTTTTAGAAGTTTGCCTCTCCTCTTCCTGACTGCTGCAGCCCTGCGTCGCTGCTTTTGCTGCTCTTGGGATGGGATGAGCATCACCAGGCAGACTCCTGATGAGAGACCACTTTTCCATTTTTTCTGTCCAAGGAACATGATAGAAAAGACTATGGTGATGATGGGGCGATATTCAGGGAGAACATTGTGTCTCTAAGCATTAGCCATTCAGCAAGGAGCAAGGGAGTATCTGCACTTCTGCTGGACACTGTGAAGTTCTTTTTTCCTCCAGTTATTTTCCAAATGATAGTAACAATTTCTATTAATGGGTGCATATTCTGTGCAGAGGACTTTGCTTAACATTTTGCTTAGATTGTTCCTGTAAACCCCTGCACTAATCTTGAACACAGGGACAGTTGACCTCACTTGACGGTGAAGACACAGGCCTCAGAGAGGTGAAGATACTTGTTTACAGTCACACAGCTGGTTAATGCTAATGCTGGGTTGTCAATTTCAGTTTCTTCAACTCTTTACCTGACATGCCCTAGAACGTATCCCAGACAAACCACTGGTTCATTGTGCCCTCCTATCCCGGAATTCTGAGAGCTGAGGAAAACATGTTTTAAAAGTTAATGAACACACATGTCTTATTTATTAGGGGAAGCCCTGTCCACTGGTGACAGACGGCTTCTAGGTGTCAGGTTGGCAAGTTGGAGTCAGGTAGTAATTATAACTGAAGTGGAAGAGAATGAATTATATGATT